GGTGAGGGGCAGGGGCTTCTCCAGGTGACCAGGTGGCCTCTGTCCTCATCTTGCTTTCTTCACAGCGGCGTGCTGAGCTCCATTGGGAAGATTTTCAAAGAGGAAGGGCTGCTGGGATTCTTTGTGTACGTGAGTTTATACTTCCAAAGCTGGCCACAGGCACGGCTCTGCTAACAGGCTCACTCTCAGGCTGCAGCTGCTGGCCTCAGACTAACCCAGGCCCTGCCCCCGCCTGAGTAGCTGCACTCCATGGCATGTGTGAGCTACAGATTATCCGGACCAAAGCTGCGCAGCTCCTTCCAGATCACAGCTCACACAGAGATGGTACTGTTTGCTCAGTACTGACTGGACTGACCCCCAGACCCCATCCATTTGCCCAGGGCTGGGGGTGGGCGTGGGGCTGGGCATGAGCCAGGGCACTCCATTGTCCTCGGTCTCACTGCTAAAAAATGACTGACCATCTATCTGTTCCCTGGACTGAGTGCCAAACACTGACAGGTCACAATGATAGCATTTCTGACAAATTAGCCCTTCACATTTAACATTTAGGGTATTTCATATAGTCCATATTTCTGACTTCTTTTAAGAAGTCAGAAAACCTGGTCCTGCTGGGCCTGTGTGTGTGCAGAGCGCCTGTCAGCAGGGCCCACAGTCTCCCAGGGGCCACAGACCCCCCCTGCCTTCCTTCGGTCTCACAACCACCTTATTCTACCTGTAAAGAAAACTCAATTGAAAAGGCTGTGTCCATATAGGATAATCCACAAACGGCACCCAAAAGCTGGGCCTGATAAGTGTTACTTGTTTTACCTTTCTAAGGTCTAGGCAGTGACATATGTATATAATAAATATGGGCTATTTACTCATATTGTGGTTTTATAGGTGGCCAGGTGTTTTTATTTATGATCTCACTTAACCAAGAAACAACTACATGTGTGTGCAAGTGTGTGTTTCTCATCAGGAGGTGATTTCTGCCCCCACGGACATTGGTACTGTCTGGAGACATCTTTTATTTTCACAACTGGTATCTGGTAGGTAGGGGCCAGGACTGCTGCTCAATATCCTGCAATGTAGCCCCCACAACAAAGACTTATATGGCCCTAAATGACGATAGTGCCAGAGTTGACAAACCTTGACTTATGTAAACACACATGTTTATATATATATATACGCACAGATGCATATATGCATGTATGGGTGTAAATATACAAGTAAATATTTACCCCTGTGACCAGTACATCAGACTTTAAAACACTACACATCATCACTTCTGGCTTTTTCCACACTCATTGTATAGTTTTATTCTGGTGTGTTAATAGGATTCCCATTGGGTTACTTAACCTTTGGGTTCTCTAATTCTTCACGTGGTTGTGGAATAGGCAATACACATAGATGTTAAAATACCCAGAAAGTGCCAAAAGGTATGTGTGCAAAGTCAGTCTGAGCACAGGTGGAAGCAACGTGATTAGAAATTGCACTCACAAAGGTTCATTTTGTTAATACCCCTCATAATAGATGCGTTGCACATAAAAAGTATTTTTAAATAAGATTTTCAAAAATTCAAAAATCATAATTCTTGATTTTGAATTTTTAAAAATTCATGAGATAGCCATTCTGGGAATCTTTTCAAGTCATTCCATATCTAATCAAGTAAATAAGCACATTACGAAGCCACAAGTCAGACATAGGACCCAGTCATCCTTAGCACTGTGTCTTAGGGAGACTTCCTGTATTTGTTTGCAGAGCTGTTTATCGCAAAGGCCACCACTTTAAAAGTCAGTCCTCCTTGTAAAACTTGCATGGAATGTCTTCATTGGAACAACCTAGGGGTGAAGAAAGCAGATGCGTGGAGCAAAGTGTTTTGTGAGAGTTGGGTGGGTATAGAGGCCAGGAAAAAACTACCAACATGTAGGCACTCTTTCATAACCTGTACTGAAAAGTCTCAGATTTAGCAACATTCACATCTTGAGGCCCAGCTTCTGTGGTTTGAAAACCGCTTGTGAAACCATAAGCTAATCTGTAGTATCAAACATAGCATATAACATCCACCCCGGGAGAAAAGAACGCCACCCTCCTGGTGTGGATAGCCGCTGGCCCACTGGCCCTGCAGACTCCTGCCTGAGGTGGTGGACATGCTAAAGTTCGAGCTTGGAACAGCCCTGCCTGCTTCCTGGGTGTGGAGCCCCCAGGAAACGCTCTCCTCCCTCCCTGGCTCACCTTTGCTCACCTTGTTTTTTAGCGGCTTAATCCCTCACCTCCTGGGAGATGTGGTTTTCTTGTGGGGCTGTAACCTGTTGGCCCACTTCATCAATGCCTACCTGGTGGATGACAGCGTGAGTGACACCCCAGGGGGGCTGGGAAACGACCAGAATCCAGGTTCCCAGGTTGGTTGGAACAAGGACTTGTCCATCTTTCCATGTACTGCTGGGGCAGACTCGAGGACTGTGGGATTCTGAGCGCCAGGCCCTGAGGGCTAGAGAGTGTCTCTGGGGAAGTGGTCTGAGAAGAGGACGTCTGGTTGTCCTCAGGTCAGCTTTGCCTCCAGATAGGAAACCTGGAGGAGTTTATGGAATGTCCGTCCCTGGGTAGTTTTAGAAATAAGACAGATCCCAGCCGTTCGAGGCCAGTTTGAGTTGTGACCCAGCTAAGGATCAGGAAACAGGATAGACCGACTGACAACCATGTAACTTCTGCTTGGTGTTTTGTGCTTTCAAAACCCTTTTGTGACCATTTTAACATTTGATCCTGACAGTACCCCAGTTGTGAAGGGAACAGGGCAGGTATCTCATCCTGTTTCACAGGTAGAGAAATTGAGACCCAGAGATTGAAGGGCTCTCCGGAGGCACTTGGCAGGGAGTTGACAGGGCTGGTACTAGGTCTTTTCCTGTGCCAGGCAGGGGGTGCGTCTCCCCTCGAGGATTTTCAAATCAGCTAGGAGATGTACTATTCAGTAATTTGTTAGCAGTGGCCTACACAGCCTGCAATGCACAGACGTCTCAGCAGGTTGGCTCAGACCTGGGGATGCCTTGGTTCTTCTAAAGGGCACTATTGAAGAAAGGCATCCAGGGACCTGATGGCTTGACTGGTCCCGCCTTAATCAAGATGAGAGTTGGGGAATAGTGATGGGTGGGGGATTCCTGGTCGTCAGCCATTGTAACAGCAGAGATTCCCAGCCCCAGGAAGGAAGGTGAGGGCGTAGGGACCTGTCTGCCAGGATCACCTGGGGGCGGGGCGGAGGGTGTCGCAGTCTGTCTGTGTCTGTGTCTGGGCAGTTTGTGTGTGTGTGTGTGCGCGCGCGTGTGCATGTGTGCGTGTGCATGTGCGCGTGCCTGCTCACATGTCTGTGGCAGGAAGTGCCCTCCCCTGCTGAGAGCCTCTGCTCAGAGGGAAATTGTCAGCTTATTTGACTTGGGTAGGTGAGTCTCATTGGCCTTTCAAAGTGAGCAAATTGAAGTGTCTCTGTAGAGACCAGCTCCCATCTGCAGTTACAGTAGCCATGGCCCTGCCCTTTCTCAGGGTCCCCATGGGTGGGGGAGCTGCTGCCTCACAGAGGGCCAGGCTGGGACAGCTGGGGTGTCTTGGGGTAGGGGGATATCCCACAGCCGATTGATTCCTCCAGTCTAGGTGGGCAGGTTTTTGAGTAGGGGTTGCTGCACTTAATGTCACCCACAATAGTCAGCAGCTTCATTGAAAGAATTTTTCAAGTACTTTTCTGTGTGTGGCTTAAAGGCAGAGGGCTGAGCAGGCCTGTCCCCAGGGGTGCAGGGCATCCACCTGGTGGGATGGCCATGCCATAGGAAGCTAAGAGATAGGCAGCCCCCTTTCCTGGGCAAAATAGACATCAGGAATTGGGGACTTGAAGGGGCCAGAGCTTGCTGGGGTTGGAGGCGACCAGAAGCCCAGACTTTCCTCCCCTTTTGCTACAGGGCTAGGATTTTGTGTCTGGGTAGTCCAGGTGGCTGCCTGTCTTCTGTTCGATAAGCAGTACTGAGCACTGTGTGCCAGGCCTTCCTTAGACATGGGTCAAGGCAGACACAGGCCAAGCCCTCAGAGCTCACAGCCCGGCGGGATTATGAAGGCCAGCAGCCAGGGATCCCGTGTGCCTGGCCTTCACTTCTGCTCCTCACCATCCCCAGCTGGGTCACAGAAATCCCTTCAGTCCGATTATCCCACTTCTGCCTCCCAGATCTTCTCTTGGCTCTGCTCTAAGGCCATGGAAGCTGCTGGCAGGCCCCAAAAGGAACATAGTGTGCACAGTGGGCATGTGGAGCCAGGGTGGAGTATGGGTGGGAGGCCACAGACCCGCAGCCTGGCAGGTGTCTGCACATGTGACGTCTGCATCTTGAGGTGCCTGTGGCAAACCCAGCTTCCTTTCTGTCTCCTCAGTTCAGCCAGGCGCTGGCCATCCGGAGCTACACCAAGTTTGTGATGGGGGTAAGTCGAGTCAGCCACCCTTCCCACTGCCCTGTGGCCTGAAGGGCTTAGGCAGCCAGCTCTGGCGGTGGCTGGAGGCTCGCTAAAGTGTAGGGTGTTGGCGCAGTGTGTCCCTGCTCCCTGAGCCCGGGTGGGGCTGGTGAGGCGTCACTGACACTCAGGTCTCCCCGGGTTTCAGATTGCAGTGAGCATGCTGACCTACCCTTTTCTGCTGGTCGGCGATCTCATGGCTGTGAACAACTGTGGGTAGGTGTGAGCCCCTCCCCCAGGCACTCTGCCAAGGCTGCTGGGGGGACCCAGCTGAGCCCATCCAGCACTCTGCCCCCTCACCTGGGCTGTGGGTTCATCCGCCTGGCACCCTGGCTTCCTCTGGGGTTCACCACGCCCCTTTGGGATGCCTGGTTCAGGGAGTGGGTGGTGGCAGCTCCAAGCCATTCCTTCGTGAGTCTTCTTTCCCTTGGTAATCACCTTCCGTGTTCTCTGGGTCTAACATGCTCTCCTTCCCTGGTAGGTTGCAGGCGGGGCTCCCCCCCTACTCCCCAGTGTTCAAATCCTGGATTCACTGCTGGAAGTACCTGAGTATGCAGGTAAGCAAGGTCCCGGAGGAGGAGTTTTCCCATTCCCGCACATGGAGCAGGTGACCTAGTTTTATGGGCGCTTCATGGCAGGGAAAGATAGAGGGTTATCATGGAATCCAGTGTTGTGAGTGGGGAGGGTAAAGAGAATGTAGCTTGGCTTAAGGCATTTAAACTGACTTCTCACTTTATTTTAGGAAGGATTTGAGGTAGGTAGATCCAAGTTTACTTAAAAATTTACATCAGAAAAGGTTCCCTTTTCTTCAACTCTTAAAGACTCTTAGAACAAGTATGAGGGACCCGCGGGAGTCTTACACCATCTTACACCTTGAATAACACGCTGGAAATGGAGCCGTGGGGTTGCGACCAACTCCTGCCAGGCAGCTGGAGTGCTGGAGGCCCAACCCTCCTGCAGGACATCCTGGTGCCCAGGAGAGCCTGAGGGTTGAGCTGGGCCACATGGTGAGCCTGGTGAGGGGGCCAGTCTTGGGGTTTTGTGTTCTGTGCCCAAGCACCTTCCTGTTTGCTGGAGCTCTTGGGCCCAGAAGTCAAGGATCTTGGTGTCCAGGGCAGATCTTTGCCTTTTCCTGGCCTTGGTGTGCCTTATAAAATGGGGCGGTGGCCTGGGCAGCAGCCAGTGCACAGACTGGCCTCAGGTTAAGCAGAGGACAGGTAGGAGAGAAGCAGCGAGGCAAAAGCCGGGTGCAGTTCGTCGTGACTCCAGCCCGTCCTACATGCATCACGTCCTGTAGGCGTTGGAGGAGTCCCGGACCATGTGGGCTCTGAAGCCAGAAGGGCAGTACTCCCCAGTGCCCTCCTCTTTGGAGAGTGCCTACCGCGTAGACCATCAACACTGGACACCCTGTGGCGTGAAGTGACCCATGAGCCACTCCAGCGCAGGGCAGATGGTGACCTTGCCCTGCGGGAATGCAAGCCTGGGTCCTCTGCCCTGACCGTGGGCTCTCTGAGCTTCAGGAGCCGCCTTTCCTTACGCCGGCCTTGCTCTGGGGCAGGATGTGGAAGGTGGCGTCCCCGTTCACTGACCTGACTCTTCCTTCCCATCCAGGGCCAGCTCTTCCGCGGCTCCAGCCTCCTTTTTCGCCGCGTGTCATCAGGATCATGCTTTGCCCTGGAGTAACCTGAATCACTAAAAACACGCAGCCTCAGCCTGCGCCGTGGGTGAGGCTGATCACCTTGGGCACTTGTAAGACGACTTCAACCCAGCAACACCTAGATGCGCTGCAGCCCAGCAGGGCTTCGGTGTCCATGTTTGCCATGTGTCTGTCCAGAAGCAGGGGTTGAGTGGGGGTGAGGCTGCGCCCAGTGACTGGTCACCTGTTAGACCTGGGGAAGGTGGGGCGGGGCTGTGGAACCGGGGCAGAAGCCCCTTTCCTCACATATTTGCCGAGTCTGCCTTGTGCAGGAGGTCAGAGAATGGCTGTGGAGGCTGGATGGGAAAAGGCTCATGGTGTCAGGTCCCACCCCCACTCCCACCCAGCCCGCCCCAGCCCTCACCTGCAGCTCAGCTGGGAGCCCTGCTCTCCTGCTTGTAAATAGGGCGTGATTCCCTTCCACGAGGCCACTATCATGTCCAGGCCTGTGCTAGGAAGCTGTTGCTAGGTTCTGCCTTTGTTTTTTTCAACACTACTTTTCTGATACGAAGGCAGCACCTTCTGGATGGGAAATCATGTGACCCAGAATGTGTCCCCTCATCAAATACTCATCGGTTTAATGGTGACGCCTCGTGTGCAGGATCTGGTTGCCTGTGCAATTGTGAACACCCAGAAGTTAGGCAGATAAGTGTCTCTAGTCCTACCCAGTTTAAAAGTCCCTGATAAAATTTGACCCTTTCTCCCTTAAATAAATGTACTGGTGGTAATTTGGAGTTTTGTGAGGAGTCTCTTATTTTGATTTTTCTCAGTTCTTGGTGTTTGTGTGAGGAGGGTCTGTAGAGTGGCGGGGCTAGGGCAGCTTAGCCTGGGATGAGAAGTGCCAGGCTCGGTGTAGATCAGCCTGGGTGGGGGTTGGAGACAGTGGGCAGTTTTCTGAATCAGACCAGGATGAGATGCTATGCACAGATCAATAAGCAGTGTGTGGGCCTGTCACCAGGGAGACAGTCCCTTTAAATGCTTCCCAGCTTCAGAGGGTGTTCCTCCCAAACCCCTGTCATCTTGCACCATCTGTGGATGGCATTTGCAGTTTTCAGGGTTATTTGGTGTAGTGGTCATGTGGTTACAACAGAAGGGGCCGACAGGGACCCAGCTGAAGCACAAGCCCTGCCTGCTCTAGAAAAGCAGGGTGCCCCGTTAGCTTGTGCCGAACGCGGGGTCTGGAGACAGGCAAACCTTACAAACAGGCTGTCCTGGCCTGGAGACCCAGGGCTTCCATCTGGGGGCAGGGGGCGTTGGATACCATGGCAGTCCAGCCGGTCCCTCCAGTGTTTCTTTGCCTTTACTCTAGCATTGCGGTCTGGTGACTTTGGTCATGGTCCTCAGGTGTGGGCCAGGTCACCCCCAGGATGCTTTTGCAGGACTGGTGTTCCCTAGTGGCCTAGTAACAGTTGACTCGAGAGCAGTTTATTGCGGATCCTTGTTCCCCAAGAAGACATGAGGGTGCCTCAGTGAATGTCTTGTAGGTGGACATTGGCTGAGGCCACTGAGGTTTTGCCCTCACTTTCCATAGCCAGCGGGCAGGGAAGGATAGCCGGCGGGTAGGTGAGTGGGCAGGCCTGCGGCCTCATTTCTTTGGGGAAGGCAGGCCCTTCGGGGTGTCTGCCTTGAGGTATGTTGCCTTTCTCTAGCCCAGCGTGGTTTCCCACAGCACTGACCACCGTTTGGACTGACTTTTCTTCCTGTTGCTCCACATCCAAATCCTATTTCTGCACCGATTACTTCTCATGGTCCCTAGATTTAGGGCCACTTGCATCTCTGGAGTCCTGTGCTGAGCTGGCCCTGAAGGGATTCTCCCTCTGACAGCCACCTCCTCCCAGTCATGGAGAGGCCGCCTGGAGTAAGGAGTGGCCGTGGGCGGGCTTGGCCTGTTACCATGAGGAGAGCCACTGCTGTTCCCAGGTAACACCCTGGGATTTCTGAATTTCGGGGTCTCGACAACATTTCCCAACCTATCTTCCACACCCAGAAATGGCTAGAAAAATACCTTTTGATACTCTATTTTAGTTGATCAGAGTCCAGGTTTTACCTCTAACTTCTAAAGCAAGTTTTCGGTTCAATATTCAGATGCACATATTGTGTATAAAATGCTCCCTTTTGTTCCCTATTCCCCTTGGCCTTTGAGGGCTGAGGCCTTACCTGCCCTCTGAGCACCTGGCATGTTCCCTGTCAGTCCAGGAAACTAGAATGTTCAGGTCCATATCTGAGAGAGGAGATTGGGTCGGATTGGAGCAGGAGGGAAGCTGAGCTGTCGGCAAAAGGCAACGGGATCGAGGATGTTGAAGGAAGCCAGTCTAACCTTCCTCCCCTCCTGGGACACTTAATTCTGATGGGCAGAGCTGGAAAAGCGTGTGCCAGACCTTTTTGGGACCCTTGTGATAAAGCCTGAGGTGGCAGTAGAAGCCTGTGCTGGGCCCCTACTGTGGTCTCTGTTGCTGTGCCAGTCCCCAGATGCCCGGGAGCCATGCAGCATAACACCGGAGCCGACCCCTCCTCACCCTGGCACTTGAGGCCTGAGAGCCCTCTGAACATGTCCTCGCATCCTCACAAACTTCCAAAGAGGTCCCTGCACAGATTTTCAGGTGACAGTTTTCTTGAGGGCTAGCCACAGGTGTTCTTTGCAGGAGGCAGGCAGAGTCCCCTCAAAAACTAGGAAAGATGGGTTTAGGCCACCACAGTTCCACTCTGCCTGGAGGCTACCACAGCTGACCACCCCATGGGACCCAGGTAGGGAGGGACCCCCCAGGAACACACGTTGGATCAACATCTGGAAATCGGCGTAATACACTCTTATCCACAGAATAAGGGACAGAAGCCATAGGATCATTTCAGTAGACACAGAAAAATACATGGCAGACCTCAACACCCTTCATGATAAAAACATTCAAAAGCCTAAGAACAGAGAACTTCCTCAGCCTGGTCAATGATACGACCTGGTAAGAATGAAAAGCCCACAGACACCGAGTGGGGAAAGACCTGACATTTCCCCCTAAGATCAGGAACAGCAAAGGGAGGTCCACTCTCGCCACTGCTCGCTGCCCTGGAGGGACCAGCTGGGGTAACAGGCAAGGAGAAGAAGCTACCCGGGTCCAAAAGGAAGAAGTACAGTTCTCTCTGTAGATGACATGATCTTGTATATAAAAAGTCCTAAGGAATCCACTAAAAATGCTTCTATAAGAAGTGAATTCAGCAAAGATGTAGGATTCAGAATATACAAAAATCAATTGTATTTCTATACACTTGGAGTGAACAAAGTGAAAATGAAACAGGATTTGACTTACAATAGCATAAAAAATAACAGTGCTTATAAACAAATTTAACAAGAGTTGAAAAACTTATACTTTGAAAACTATAAAACATTGTTGAAAGAAAGTAAAGAAGACCTAAACGAACTGAAAAACATCCCATGCTCATGGATTGGGAGACAACATAGTTAAGATGGCAGATTACACACACACTGTTAAAGTCTGAGCTGACTTCTTTGCAGAATTTGACAAGCGGATCCTAAAGTTAATATGGAAATTCAAGGGGCCCAGAATAGCCTAAACCTGAAAAAGAAAAAAGTCGGAGGACTTGGACTTACTGATTTCAAAACTTTACTACAAAGCCACAGTAATCAAGATGGTGTGGTACCGGCATAAAGATAGACATACAGACCAATGGAACAGAACTGAGAGTCCAGAGATAAACATTCCATTTATGGCCAACTGAGTTTTGACAAGGGTAACGACAATTAGATGACGGGAGAATGATCTTCAACAAAAGGTGCTGGGACAACTGGATATGAACATGCAGGAAAATGAAGTTGGATTCCCATTTTATACCACATAGAAAATTAACAAAATGTATCAAAGATTTAAATGTATAAAACTGTAAAACAAGAAAACATAGGTATAAGTCTTTGTGACCTTGGATTAGGCACTGGTTTCTTAGCTATAACATCAAAAAGCACAAGCAACAAAAAAGTTGATAAATTGGACACTGTCAAAATTTAAAACTTTTGTATTCCAAGGATATCACCAAAAATTGAAAAGACAACCCACAGAATGAGAGAAAATGTTTGCAAATCACTTATCTGATAAGGGACTTGTATCTAGAACATAGAAAGAATTCCTACAACTCAAAAAGACAAATACCTGCCCCCAATTTTTTTAAATGGACAAAAAACTTGAAAAGACTTTCCAATAAGTACATGGAAAGATGTTCAACATCACTAGTCATGAGAGAAATGAAAATCAAAACCACCAGATACTACTTCATACTCATTAGGATGGCTATAATAAAAAAGACAGATAATAACAACTGTTGGTTAAGATGTGGAGAGATTATGCGCAGCCGGCGTGGCTCAGCAGTTGAGCACCAACCTATAAGCCAGGAGGTCGCGGTTCGATTCCCGGTCAGGGCACATGCCCGGGTTGTAGGCTCCATCCCTAGTAGGAGGTATTCAGGAGGCAGCTGATCAATGACTCTCATCATTGATGTTTCTCTCTCCCTCTCCCTTCCTCTCTCTGAAATCAATAAAGATATATTTTAAAAGATGTGAAAGAATTAAAACCCTGGTACAAATGTAAAATTGCTGGTACAAATTTAAAATTGTGCAGCTACTTTGGAAAATAGCCTGCCAGTTCCTCAAAAAGTTAAACATATCCTTAAAAAATTAAAAACAACTATGTGATCCAGCAATTCCACTTCTGGGAATATATCCAAAGGAAATGAAAACACTAACTTGAAAAGACATCTGCACCCCCATGTTCAAAGCATTATTTACAATAGCCAAGACATGGAAACAACCTGAGTGTGCATCCACGGATGAGTGGATAAAGAAGATGCGGTATATCTATACAACAGAATATTATTCAGCCATAAACATGGCTGCATGGAAATCCTATTTGCAACAACATGGCTGGACCTTGAAGGCATTATGCTAAGTGAAATAAGTCAGGGAAAGACAAATACTGCATGATCTTAGATGTGGAATCTAAAAAAAACCCAGACAAGAAAAGATCAGGTTTGTGGTTACCAGGCAGAGGGTGGGGGGAGGGGAAATTGGAGGAAGGTGGTCAAAAGTACAAACTTCTAAGATAAGTAGGCGGGATGCAATGTACATGGTGACGATACTAACGCTGCCCTAGGTAGGTACATAGGAAAGCTATTGAGAGTGAACTCTGAGAATTCTCATCACACAGAGAAAATGTTTTCTGTCCTATTATTTATATGAGAAGAGGGATGTTAGCCGAACCTGTTGTGGTGATTGATCACTTCACAGTATATGTAAATCAAACCATCATGCTGAATGCCTTAAATTTATACAGCGATGTATGTCAATTATTTCTCAATAAAACGGGGGGGGCAGGGAGGTAAAGATGAGTTACCATATGATGCAGTTACCATATGATATCACTTTTAGGTATATATCTAAGAGAAACAAAAACATATCCACACAAAAACTTTTACAGGAATGTTTATAGCAGTATTATTATAATAGCCCTGAAGTGGAAACAACTGAAATGTCCACCACCTGATGAAGATAAATAAAATGTATTTCAGACAATGGAATATTACTTGGTAATAAAAAAGAACAAAGCACCGCTCTATTCTACAACATGGATGAACCTTGAAAATATTACATTAAGTGAAAGAAGCCAGATACAATGGCCACATATTGTATGATTCTGTTTATACAAAATGTCCAGCATAGGTAAATCCATAGGGACAATAGAGTAGTGGTGGCTAGGGGCTGGGGGAGGGGGGAGGGAAAAGGAGAGTGACTGCTCATGGGTATGGGGTTTCTTTTTAGGGCGATAAAAATGTTCTAAAATTGCCTGTGGAGATGGCGGCACAACCATGTGAATACACTTAAAACCATTGAGTGGTACAATTTAAATGAGTGAATTTTATGTTACATGAGTTATATCTTAATAGAGATACATTATATCATATTATATACATACATGGAAGGCACGCATCCCTAGCCTGACTTGAGTGCTTCCTGTTTAACTGCTGACACTGACTTTGGCCTGAAGACAGTAGCTCTGCCCTTCACCAACCCCAGCTTTGTCCCAAGTCGCCCTAAGTCATCTGCTACTGCTGGCCCTACACACACACTTGTGCTTTCCTGCCCCACAGCACTCTGGATAATCCTGCTCTGCTCCGCTGGGGGAGTGTCTGGGGCTCCAGAACCTTTCCCAGGACTCCTCCAATCACCAAGGGTTGGCATGAGCTAACATTTCCGACCTCATGTCCCAGATGGGCCTGGGTAGCAGCACCCTGTGAAGAGACTGTATGCCACCCTGGGCACCGAACCCAACTTGGCCCCGCTGGTGACTCCTGGAGCTGGGAGTCAGCCCAGCGCCCTTGGCCTTCCCTTGGCCCTTTACCCTCCCTACCAGAAACCTGAAGATTTGAGGGGAGGGTTATGTGAAGGAAAGGAAGGGTACCCCCAAAGAACTAAATGGAGTATTTGGGGATAGAGGGGTGTGAAGTGAAGGAACAGGTGCCACAGGTTGTTTGGGGAAGTGTTGAACCTCTTTAAGGCCACCCACCCCTCGCAAGCATGGAGACTGGGTACTCTTACACAGGCTTTTATTCCGGAGGCAGGGGGCTGCTTCCCTCCCCTGGTCTCTGCCTGCCCCACCCATAGAACCCCACCAGGTGGGTCTTGTCCATCTGCCCCCCACACCCACCCCACCCCAGCCAGCTACACAGCAAGTAGGGAGAGGAAGGCTCTCAGGGAGAACCCCCTACCTTGCACAGGCAGACAGCCCCAGGCCAGGCTGGCAGGGACCTCCCCAGAAACCCCTCTCACCCCCTGGATTGACAGGAGGGGCAGGAGGGGCCCGGGCCAGATATGCAGTCCTTGGGCAACAAACTGAGCTCGTTGCCAGCCAGGCCAAAATGTCTGGGTGAGGCACATGCCCTGCAGCCTTTCCTTCCAGAGGGCCTTCAGTCAAGTAGCATCTTGTTTGAGGGGCTGGGGACAGAGTGAGGGAGATGGCAGGAGGACAGCTGACATCCTCACCCTGGAAGGCAGGAGGCAGGCCTGGAAACATCCCAAGACTCAGATATCTCCAGGAAGAGGCCAGGGGCTGGGAGGGGCCAAGGGGTTCCTGGAAAGCAGGACCTCAGATCTGTCCCTAGAAGAGCAGGACCACAGCCACAGGAACGCTGCTCAGAAAGTCTGCAGCTAGCTGAGGGGGGACCACCCCAGAAGCAGAAGCACTCCTGGGGCAGTGCCAGGATTGGCACTAGCCTGGAGTCTGGCCAGAAGCTGGGTGAAGGCGGCTACTGGGCCACAGAGCAGGACCTGCCCAGGAAGCTGTGGCCTCTGACTTGGAGAAAGACAATCCAGAGTGGGCATGAGGCCAGAGTCCCCCCACCAGGCCTTGCCTTTGTTGACCCTTCAGAAGATTCCAGCCAACACTAGGGGAGGCAGTAGCAGCAGACCCAGGAAAGGGCCCCAGATGTGACCAGGACCCGAGTTCAGCCCTGAGTGGATTTCAGGCTTTTCATGGTCCTCTGCACCTATAGGAAGGGAAAGGGTTTGCCTCAGCCTGGAGACAGCTCCGCCTGACCGCCCACCCACCCCACCAGGCATGCAAGTGGGGGCCCAGCAGCCCGGGAGGAAGCTCCTACTCAGAGGGCACATGCCCCTCATGCCTGCACCACCCATGCTGGGGACAGGGTGCTGACAATCTGGAGTCAGGAGGGAAGGTAAGATGGACACTACAGGCCTTACCTGGCAAGAACGACTGCAGGGCCATGGTTTGCCCAACCACGGCATTATTGGTGGCAGACATACTGGGAAAGTTGGGCAGGGACTTGGAGAAGGTGTGCCCTGTATGGACAGAAAAAATGCCTTCCTTCCTTCCTTCCTTCCTTTCCTTCCTTCCTTCCTTCCTTCCTTCCTTCCTTCCTTCCTTCCTTCCTTCCTTCCTTCCCTCCCTCCCNAACAATGTGAGGGCCATGAGCCAAGGAATGCAGATGACCTCTAGAAGCTGGAAAAGTCAAGGAAAGAATTCTCCCCTAGAGCCTCTGTAAGGAACATAACATTGTGTCCTTTTAAGCCACTAAATTTGTAGTAGTTTGTTATAGAAGCAATAGGAAACTAATACAGCAGTTTGGCTTACTCAAACATGTGAATTCAAGAAAAGATTCAAGTGGTCTGTAAACACATGAAAAGATATCAAAATCAATAGAAACAAAACCATTAAAATAAGAACCTTAAAAAAAAAAAGCCCAGTTATTTGGCAGAAATTAAAAAGGATTAATTTTACATGTTGACAAGGATTTGGAGGGAGTGGGTGGGCATTCTTTTATGCTATGGATGGAATAGAAGTTGGTGAAGACTTTTTACAGGTAACTTGGCAATTTAAAATATTCATATCCTTTGATTTAGTAATTCTGCTTCTGGGAAGCAATAATTATGGAATGGTTAAGAGTACAGGAAAGTTACGCTGGAACCCATGCTCTTACCCTCTATGTTGGCAATTTTCAACCTTTTTCATCTCACGGCACACATAAACTAATTACTAAAGTTCTGTGGCACACCAAAAAATATATTTTTTGCCAAGGTGATAAAAAAAAGGTATTGTAATGCCAGAAAGAGGCCTCCCTTCCTTCCCCTCTCTTGCTGTGGCCTTCCACAATTTATGTGAAGCCCCTGGTAATTAAGCCCCAAGATTGCTGGCTCCTCCGATTCAAACAGCCCCTCTGTTCAAACTGCAGGGAAGGTTAGCTGCTCTCAAGGCTACCTTCTTGCTCCTCCGCCTCCCTGCTGTTTCCACAGCTCGGGGATAATTCACACCCAGGAGTCTCCAGTGAGGAGAAAGTTCCCTTCCCCCTGCCCCTCAAACAAGCCTCTTCTGAACTCATAACTTCTGCTCTGAGCATGTTTTACACGCCTGGGGAAAATACTGATAAGACACCTCCCTAGGACATCTGCCAGGCTGTTTCCTGGAGAGCAAACAAAGTATAACTTTTCAGGACAACCTCCCCGGTATCTGCTCAACTTCTAGACAACCCCTCCCCCTCCCCCTTCCTTGTCGCCTAGCAACAGTACCTGCTTAAAACCCCAGGCCGCCCTCCGTTTCTTGCCCTTGTATTGAGTAGCATGCATCAGTGGCCCTTTCCCTTCTTGGGGAAGGTAAAACAAACTTTCTCTCTACATCTCTTCTTTTAGTTGTGAAATCTTTCACAACCCATGTCACGGCCCAAACCCTAACATGCCCCACGTGGTCCAGCGGGGACTGCAGCTCACCTGGCTCCTCCTGGGCTGGAAAATCGGAGACCAAGACCTCCCTGGAAGAAGGCAACTGGGCCTCAGCCTCGCCCTCCTTCTGGGAGTAGGGGAGCGGCTCCTGTGTCCCTGTCAGAGACACCTTGAGGTGCAGAGAACTCTCTGGGATCCTGAAGGGCACTCTTATCTTGCTGGCCTCTTTGTCTACCAATGTTGGGATGGGGCCATCGGTTGATTTGGGGGAGGTAGTTGTCCCCTCATCCAAGGAGAACAGGCTCTGAGTTTCCAAACACGAAGGGACCTCAGTTGTTAAGGAAGGTGGAGCTTTGGTTGCCATGGTGAGGGGGCCTTCCGTTGCTAAGGAAGATGGGGCCTTGATCTCTGCATCAGGTAGAACCTTGGTTGCCAGGGAGTCCGAAACCTCTGTTACCAAGAACGATGAAGTTTCCGTTGCTAGGGTAGAAGAGATACCCCCTTTCCTAGACCCTGAGGCTTCAGTTGCCAGGGAAGATGTGGCCTCAGTTACCAGGTGAGGGGAATCCGGAGACTCCTCCGTGCCTCTGATAGGTTCTGCTGGGAGAGACAGGCCTGGCATCAGTGCTTCAAGCAGGACCCCATATCCGTCACCCCACTGTATCAAGGTGAGGCGACCAAATGCACACACCCCCTCCAGCGAATATGTCCCTCATTGATAACAAATTTTATTTCTTGTGGTTGACACGGTTGGTCTTCCATCCACCTCCTTGTCCAAGTCTTCCTCTCTCTGCTCTCAGGCTTACAGGTTTTCTAGGGACACCCGCTGGATTCTAGTTCCTAACACTCCCCTTCGAGTCCCTTTGACCACGCCCAGCAACGGCCCCGCCTATCCGGGCTCGCCCCCACCTGGCCCCGCCCACCGGGCTTGTCCCATCTGACCACGCCCACCTCGCCGGGGCTGCTGGGCTCTACCCTCCCTCGGCTCGGAGGGCTGAAGTCCGGTCACTTGGAATGACCGGGCGCTAAGGCGGCTGCGCAAGAAGGGCAAAACGGTCCTGGGAACCCTGATGGGGTGGGACTGCCGAGGGCACCTGGGGTCCCCTCCCCTGTCCACACACCGCCCTGGAGCCGCGGGAGGCTCCAACCATCCGGTCGGACGCCCTTTCCTGCTCCTGGCTCTCCCTCCCCTGCCCTGCCCAGCCCATCCCACCCCGGACTCACCACAGAGGGAGTTCTGGCAGTGGTAGCCAGAGGGACACTGGGAGCACGGAGTCCCCTCCACGTAGGGCCTCTGCCACTTCACGTTCCCCCTGCAGGAGGAGATGCTGGGGGTTGGGCGTCCCTGGCGACCCCGGACCCCAGCGCTCACAGGCACAGCTTCCCCTTACTCACGGGGCCGTCGAGGGCAGACTCCTACAGGTGCCCTCACAGCTTCCCCGAGGGGGGCATGGGCTCCAGATGGTCCCCCACCCGCGTCCTTAGACTGTGTCCAACCCAGCCTTCCCCCTGGCTCTGCCCGCCCGTCCGGCTCCCTCGGACTCACGGGGGCTCATAGTTGCAAACCAGTAGGTGGATATTGGCCTCGTTGATGCCCTGGAGCTTCTCACAGAAGTGGGAGCCACAGCCGATCTTCTCTGTCTTGGCCCAGACCACCTGAAGCAGGGCAAACCCAACGGTCAGCGTGGGTGGGACGGCCCCCACCCAGCTTGTGTCCCTGTACCAGCCCCCCGCAGGTGGGCAGAGGAGCAGTCCTTACAGCCTGTAGGACCCAAGCCCCTGAGGGCATGCAGCTGGAGGACAAAACTCTGAACAGGGGCTTGGG